AGTGACGAGAATTTATGTTAACACAGAATGACATAATCTCTTCTGTGAAAAAAATCTATAGAGGATAATTCTGTTGCGATTTTTTTTAAAAAAGTGAACACACAGAACTGCTAATTATGGTTCCCTCTGACGAGTGGGACTGGGGGGTGAGGAAGTGAGGGAAACCATTCCTTGTCACTCCTACTGCACGGGGCCTGTGCGCAGATCGCTCCCCTGGTCCTGCAGAGCTGGGGACGTGGGGTCCTCATAGAGGGCTGTGGGTGGCAGAGGGGGTGCACAGTAGACCCACACGAGGGAGTCCAAGGGGTCCTAAGGCTCAGGCTGCTGTAAGTCAAAGCATGGGTGTCCCCCTCAGCAGCCTCCCCACTCTCCCATCAGACCACACCCGGCCGAAGTGCCAGGACGGGCTCATGGAACAGCTCACCCTTCTGTGTGCCGCCCAGTCCCAAGCCCCTTCTGCCGACATACCCCAGGACACCACGCAGCACGAGGCCAGGAGCAGGTGAGACTTCTGCCAGCCACAGCCTGTCCTCTCTCTGGAACTGGCCATGCCCTTGCAGCATGTATCAGGTCTACCCTGGGTGCGGCACTGAGGCACAGTTCTCATTTCCTCTCAAGAATCTGATCAGGTAGGTGCTGCCATTATCTCCATTCTACAGATGGGGAAACTGAGGCTCAGAGGTTGACCTACCCAGGCCATACGTGGCAGAGCTGGGACTCAAGGCCCAAAGCACCTGCTCTTGCACACGCCCTGGGAACCCTCCCTTCAGCATCCACATGGCTCCCCCAGAGTAGGACCCTGCCCCTCTGGCTGCTGTTAATTAGGCCAGCCCTGGAGTCTAACGTGAGCCAGGCCGATCAAAGCCTTTCTGTGAGAATCTCCCTGTCTCTGGGTGGGAATGGGAGGGCAGAGGTGGGCACAGGGCGCTGGGATCCCTTAAAACCTACTGCCCACTCTTTTATAGGAATCTGAGAGCCAATGAATTCTCCTTTTCATCCAAGCTAGTTGGAGTGGCCTCCCGTTCCTGGCAACCCAGTGACCAATAGAAATATCTAGGGGCGGGTGGTGGTTCAGTGGTTTGAGTGACCAACTCTTGGTTTTGGCTCAGGTCATGACTTCGGATTCTGCACTCCAAGGGGAGTGTGCGTCCCTTCTCCCTCTCCCACTGTTCCCCCCAGCCCTGCTTATACTCTGTCTCTTTCAAATACATAAGTTTAAAAAAAAAAAAAAGCATCTAGACCTGTGCTGTCCAACTGGTAGCCTCTGGCCACACGCAGCTACTGAACCCTTGAAATGTGCCTGGTGCAACTGAGGAAATGAATTTTTAAAATTTATTTTTAAATTTAATTTTAACTAGTTTACAAGCAAATTTAAGTAGCTATTTGTAGCAAGTGGCCACCACGCTGGGAAGCACAGAAATGGAACATTTCCAGTACCACGGACCGTCCCGTGGGACAGTGTCAGCCCAATCTTGAGGGCTGTTCTGAAGAGCAAAAGAGCAGGTGCGCTTACAGGGCCTAGCTCAGGCCACACTGTCATCACCGAGTGACAAAAAGCCCTACTCTCTCATCCCAGATCTGCTCCAGGCATCCAGGCTGAGCTGGGCCTGGCCCAGAGCAGGCAGCTAAGGAGCCCAGCAGAGCCTCCCACCATCTTCATCGATCTGCGGCCCTCGGAGCCATCAGACCCTGGGTCGGTGGAAAGGTACTGGGAGCGGTGACGGTGGGAGTCACGCTGGTGTGGGCAGTCCCAGAGCACCACTCAGCGGAGAAGTGCTTTCCGCCAGGAGCTGAGCCTGGCCAACCCTCCAGCTTGGTCCCATCCGCAGACTCTCCCTACAAGGAGGCAAGAACCCAGGTGGAGCTCTGAGCAAACAGAATCTGAGCTTTGGTACATCGCCCTGGGGGGTGTCCCTCCACTACTTGGCAGGAAATCCCAGTGGCCCTGCATCAACAGGGAGGCCTGGGTGGCCTGGGGCACATCCCATGAAGCCCATTTTCCTCTTCTCCAGCTCCAGCCCCAGCCCCAGCTCCTTTGACAGCGAGGAGGAGGAAGAGGAGACAGTGGCTCTTGGAGACCAGCAGGGCCCCCCCGAGCAGGAGAGTCCTTTCCCCCGGCAGCTACGGTAACCACCAAGGGGCTCCCATCACCTGGGGACGTCCCATCTCTGCTTTCCACGCAAGCCCTCAGCCTCACACACTGAACATTTGTGCTTTCAGCTCTGTCTTGTACCCACAGGGACAGTATGTGTGGGTCTGGGGAGAGGGGTCTAGGTGGTGGCCGTGGGAGCTCACTTGGGGCCCAGCCTAGACTGCTGTCCTCCCAGCATCACCAAGAATACCTTAGTTCACTCCTGAGAAGAGAGTAGTGCTTTCCTTCTGAAAAATAGCTTCACAAATCAATTTACACCCTACTCCTGATAGCACTGAAGTGAAGTTGTTGGGATGGAATGAAGTGATGGTTTTTGGCTAGAAATGAGAAGAGGAAGTGCAGTGTCCCATTTGGAGATGGCCCGCTTCCCACCGGACAGAGGCCTCGCACAGGGGTCCTGGGGCCACTCAGACTTATATGCTATATCTCGTTTTTGGAATTGCAAAGCCTGTGGATCCTATCCTCTGGGAATGTCAGAGTCCAAGGCCACTTTCCCCCTCAAGTACATGTCTAGGCATAGAGGAAAAAAGAAAAAAAATCTGAGCTGAGAAGTGTCATACAGGTGAGCTCCCAGAAGCCTTGAACAGCTGACATGCCCTGTGACTCAGCACAGGCTGAGAGGCCAAAATCTCTCACTTACCGTCTTGAGAACCAGGAAACACAATTCTGGAAGCACTCTGGCCCCTTCCTGTGGGGAGGTCTGGTGTTGACTGATCATCTCTTGTGTCACAGGGACTGCACTGGAAAGAGTCAGCTTCTCCAGCAGCTCAGGGCATTTCGGAAGGAGACGGCTCAGCCCAATTGGCCTGCCACTGGGGGTCCCAGTGGCCAGAAGGCTCAGGTCCCTGAAGATCCAGCCAGCTCCGCAACTAGGAGGAAGCAACATGTACCAGCTTGGGCTGAGCCCCAGAACACCCCAGCCAGATGCCCAGGGGGAGGTCCCAGGGCGCTAGGGGATGCTCTTGGGCCAGGGACAGCCAGGGAGGCCCTGGTGCCTCCCCTGAGCCAACCATAGCTGCCTCCAGGAACCGAAGGGAGGAGGAGCTGGATGGGATGATTCCACTCTCCATCCACATGCCCTGGCCCCTGGCTCTCCCTTGTTTCCGTGACAAGGTGCTGCTTCTGCCGCACGGGGACCCTTGGGCTGCGGGGCATTCCATGCACTTAGAGCAAAGACACCAGAACACAACCATACAGAGCGCATGACGACAGTGCCTCTGACGGCGCCTGGGAAGCAGACCCCACAGTCTGTGCCGACAGTGAGACTGTCCAATTTTTTCTCTCCTGTGTCTGTACCCCTCTTTGGTGCGCATCTGTTATTGGCATCAAGCAAGCTCTTCCTAAAATTAAAACTTAAGTAAAACATATTTAGAGAATTTCTGGGTTGAAAGGGTCTTGCAAGAGAATCGAGCCTGATCTTCTGGGTCCCTGGCTGCTTGCTACTCTATGTGCCTAAATGAACACACCACAGGCTCTCTCTCAAGCACCAAGTGGATTCTTTGATAAAGCGGTGAAGACTGAAGGTTTTTTTCCCTTTCACCACGATACAAAGGCACACAACTGTTTTAGGGTCCTTCCAAACTATGGGTGGAGCTGACCTTCCCAGAAAGTACCGAGTGTCCTGACACCCAAATGGTCCCCATGGAACAGGGCAGCGCCCCGCCGTGTGGATGACATTCCTTCTGTTACTTTGCAAGCACTATTCCCCACCGCCCCCCATTTTCAGTCCTTTCATATTGTCTCAGCCCTGCCGTCCCCAACAGGCTGAAGCCCTGACCTGGGGCTACCTCTGTTCTCTCGTCAACTTGTATCTGAGGTTCCGCTTCTCACAGTCTCTGCCCGTTTCGCCCCACCTGCCCCAGGGGAAGAGCAGTCATCTCAAGTCCCCGTGACACGGGTTCAGCGGCTTGGCAGGGTCCTTGGGATTGGGCACGTGTTCCAGCATTCGGTTGAGGTCACCACATGCTGGCATGCGCTGAGGATAGGTAAGGGTCTCTTTCCATCAAGCCCTGTACCAGGCAAGGAAGGCTCAGCCAGCCACAGTGAGAACCACAGACCCCCTTGATATGGCCAAGGGGGCCCCCACACCAGCCCCCACCTGCACCAGTGAGGGGCCAGGGGAGAGACAACTTCCACCAACGCCACGGGAGGCCCTGGGTGGGCCTATTAGCAGGGAAGGTGACCAGGCTGTGTCACCTGGGCTCCTGGGTCTCGCCCATCTGCGAAAGTCCCTCCCGCTCTGCTCCACGGCACCCGCACTGCAGTCGGGGCCCGGCTGCTGGGCAAGGCAGACTGAACGGGACCACCTCCACCTGTCAAGAGCAATGGCCAGCTTTTTTTCCTTTAAACCTATTTTCCCCATCTCTACCCCCTTTAATGCCAGGAAGTTCATTAAGCATGTTTCACAAAGTAAGAAGATAAACGCTTGTTCCAAGTTCAACTGGGTGAATGACCATTAAGGCAAGCCAAGAAGATGATGTGGTAGGAGTTCAGCTCTGAGTCTATAGCCAGTTCTGCCACCTGGACAAGGTGGTAGAAGCACTCGGGACCTCAGTTTCCCATCTATAAAAGGAAAGTCACAAAAGTCCTATGTCCTAGGACTGTGTGAGAGAATATTCTGGAACAGGCACTAATGGGCCCGGGTCCCAGGTCAGGAAGCAGGCGGGCAGCCGCCTCAGCGCCAGCCTGGACACAACAGAAGTGAGCCTACAGACGGCCACATAGGGAAGGAGGGTGGTCAGCAACGCCAGGCACGCTCAAGAGCCCTGGAAGGAGGCCTAGAAGGTAAAACCGTGCTTCAACTGAGTGGTCCCTTCTCTGGAGAACACACAGGGCAGAGCACACGAGGCCAGAGGGACCGACTTTGTTTATTAAAGGAACCAAGAACAAATCACGCATCCTGGAACCTGGGTTACACTGAAAGATGGAAAATACCTACAGTGATTGGGTAACAAACAGAATGGAGCACAAGACAAGGCCCAAGGCAACCCCACCATGGGAAACTGCCACACTCCCTGCATGGAATGTTCCAGAACCAAGGGGTTTCAGCAGTTGCCCCAACTCCAGTGACAATGAAACAGAACAAGGACCCTCTACGGGAGCGTCAGCTGCCTGTCTGCCTCAGAAAGACCCAGTGGGTCAGCCAAGGCTGCCTCTGTCCTGGCCACTTGGGGCTGGAACAAAGACAACCATGGACTCCTGCCGTGGGGACAGATGGGAAGACAGGTCAAATCCACAGGCTTCCTCACAGGCTGCAGAGGCTGAAAGATGGGGTATCAGGGAAGTGTTCCCACACCAGGCATTTATCCTTTAGAACAGCTGTGGATCTACGAAGGTGACCCCCAACTCCCCTCCACGGTCCCGCTGATAACACAGGGACACGGAAAAGCCCCCACGGCCTACACACTGAGTGTGGCAAGGCTGGAGGGGAAGGTGAGAGGCCAGTAAAGGCTAGGGTTTGTTAACACTGCAAGAAATTGGAGCCACTGAGGCTTCCCCAAAGTGGGCCGACAAAGTGTCCCCAGCTTCATGTCCACCCACAACCTCAGAATGTGCCCTTATTTGGAAACAGGGTCTTTGCAGATGTAATTAAGATGAGGTCATTCTGGACCGGGGGCCCTAAATCGAATGACTGTGCCCTTAGAAGAGGACACCAGAGCAGAGAAGAGGCAGAGACGGGAGCGATGGAGCCATAAGGCGAGAACACTGGGGACGCCGGCAACATCAGAAGCCAGAAGAGAGGCGTGGGATGGTGTCTCCCATCAGGGCGTCCGGAAAGCAGCAGCCCTGCCTACACCTTGAATTGGACTTCCGGCCCCCTGAACGGTGAGAATCCATCCCTGGGGTGCTGAGACACCAGGCTGTGCTCATCCGGACAGTGGCCCCACGGCCCAGGTCCACCTGCTCCGTGTCCAGCCGTCACTGCCACACTCAGTGCCCGGATTCTTCCCTCAGTCCGGGCACCTGAAATGTCCCACTGTCATCAGCTGGGCCCCCAGTAGGGGCACACGGGGTGTGTCCGAAATGCCTTCAGGTTAGGGTTCTGGTTCCAAGACAGTAACTCCAGCAGCTTCATGAACTCTGACCGTGAAATTCTGACCGGGACCCCTGAGGCGGGTAGCTCAGTGAGTGGCAGCCGGGCTTCAGCCCGGGGGCCTCCTGGAGCCTCGCTGCGGGGCTCTGCGGGCCCGGCGGGTGCTGCTCTTCGCTGTGGGTCCGCTGGTGTTTGTGGAGGTCTGTGCCCCGGCGGAAGCCCCTGCCACAGGCTGGGCACACGAAGGGCTTCTCGCCTGCGTGTGTCCTCCGGTGCGCGCTGAAGTGGGAGCTGTTGCTGAAGCGCTTCCCGCACTCGGCACAGGCGTAAGGCCGCTCCCCGGTGTGCGTCCTGCGGTGGATGACCAGGCTGGAGCTCTGGCTGAAGCGCTTCCCACACTCGGCGCACGCGTACGGCTTCTCGCCCGTGTGGACCCTCTGGTGCGTGCTGAAGTTGGAGCGGTCACTGAAGCCCTTCCCGCACACCTGACACTTGTAGGGCCGCTCCCCGGTGTGCGTGCGCTGGTGCTTGGTCAAGTGGGACGTTTTGCTAAAGCCTTTGCCACACTCGGGGCACGTGTACGGCTTTTCGACTCGTCGGGGTCCTGCTCTTTCCAGAGGCTGCTCAGGTCTGGTCATGCCCCCGGCCGGCTCTCGGTCCCTCTCCCTTCTCATCGACACGTCCTCCCTGGCGTCCTCTCCATCAAGTTGCAGCCCAAGCCCTGGGACAGAGAAAGCACAGTCCCTGAGGCCCTCACGGGGAGAGGGGATGCGTCTAATAAGAGAGCAGAGGCTGGGCGGCTGTCCCATCCGAGGAACATGAGAGCAAGGCTCAGAGCACTTAGCAGGGGAGTGTCAGACCCCGAGTGGAGATAATGAACCATGGCCAGCAGCCCATTAAACCCGCACAACGCCAGTGAGGTGGGTGCTGTTACTGCCCCCATCTTAAGATGGGGAAACCGAGGCACGGGGATGTTGAGGAACTCACCCAAAGTCACTCAGCTAGTAAGTTACAGGGTGGGCTCTAGAGTCTGGGCACACAACCTTTAGGCCAAGGGTTCTCCTCTGGGGGCAGTGGCGGCCCTCAGAGGGCACTGGGCAGTGTCTGAAGGCATTTTTGGTTGTCACACTTGCCGCTAGTGGGTGGAGGCCAGGGACGCTGGTGAACATCCTATAGCTCACAAGATGGCATCATAACAGAGACTTCTACAGCCTCAATGTCAACAATGTTTTGGTGTTTAACCAAACAAACCACAACCAGACTAAATAACCTATCACAATGTTATCTGTAGATCTGCATTAACAGCTATAATCAGCTGACTGAAAAACAGATCACTCTCCATACTGTAGGTGGGCCTCAACTCATCAGTAGAAGGTCTTAGGAGCAGAACCTGAGGCTTCTCAGAGAGGGGCAGAGGGAGAGAGAGAATCCTAAGCAAACCTCTTGCCCAGCATGGAGCCCCTTGCAGGCCTGGAGATCATGACCTGAGCTGACATCAAGGTGGACACTTAACCGACTAAGCCAGCCAGGTACCTCCCCCAGAGAAGGAATTCTACCTCAAGACTGCAATACAGAAATCCTACCCAGGTTTCTAGTCAGTTGGCGGCCCTGCAGATCTCAGACTCAGGACTGCAACATCAATTCTCACTCGAATTTCCAGTCTGCAAGCCTGTCCTATGATTTTACGCTTGCCAGAAGTCACCATCCTATGAGCCAATTCCTTAAAACAAATGTCTTAACTTACACACATACACACACACAATTGGTTCTGTTTCTCTGAAGAAACCCAACTGATACCCAGAGGCAGCTCAGTTCCTTGAGCTGAACGTGTTGCGGGGAGTGAACGGCTATCTGGAATGTCAAGAGAGCGGAGCAGGGAGAGCCGCGGTGCTGTGCGGGGAGCTGAGGGTGGAGGTGGTCAGGAGAGGCTGTGGATGGTCAAGGCCTTGCCGGGAGCAGCTCGACCCACAGGGCTGTGGGCAGCACAGAGGCGGACGCGAAACTGGACCAACCACGTGGGTGAAGGCACAAAAGAACAAGGAACCCAGGACTGCTGTGGCACCTGCCTGGGGCGAGGTGAGCAGCCGTACTCTCCCCACTGCCAGGCCCCTGCCGGGTCACTAGCAACCCTGGCCTGGCAGGCCGCACCCGGCTGCTTGCTGAGCGGACGCGCCAGGGAGTGGCCCTGGCCCATGGAACCCACCCGGGCACGGGGTGCGTTCCTGTTTCAGCACGCTCCCCACTGAGTCCTCGGGCCACTGCGGCCTGATAACTGTTGAACTGGCTTTTGTAAGCGATGGGGAGACATGGGAAATCGGAGCAGGGAGATGCCGGGCCTGGCATCCCCGAGGCCCAAACACAATTGTTGAGAAATGCCGAGCCGGCCACGGCCAGCCTGGGGAAGGAGCCCCCCTCCCTGAGACCGGCCCACGTCAGACACACCACCGATAAGCAGTGGCCGGGGCCTCTCCGCACGTTACCCCTGTGTTCCGGCAGTGTGTCCCAGCTACAATCCCGCTGAGCTGGGTCTGGGCTCTCCCACTCCTCCTGGGACAGGTACGCTGCCATGTCCTCCAAGGTCACTGGCACCTGCTGGAATGCAAACCACTCAGTCCCACACTGAGGCTCCGTAATGTGGGCCAGCCTGGTGGGCTCGCACACCCCCTCCACCTGTATCACAATGGCAGGTCCTGCTTGTCTCCCCCAACTTCCTCTCTCTAATACCTTCCCTCTCCATAGGCTATTGTCCACCCCTCCTCCTCAGGTTCTGCTCACAGAACGGCTGAATCCTGCTCCCTGGGAGGACACCATCACCGCCGCACTCTGTCCCTCTGCTGCTGGGCCAGAGACAATGCAGACAGATTCACCGTCTGGAGCAGCTGGTTCCCCTGTGCGTGCAGCCACTGGGGCCCAGGTTCCCCAGGGGCATGAGTTAGGCATGCCCTGCCTCAGCTCAACCAGCCCTGGGACCCGAGTGGGGTGTCTTGGGAACTTCAGGAAGCCTCTAGGTCAATCGTTCCAAATCTAGCACCAAACTGACTCAAGGAGCAGATTAAAACCCAAGCAAACAAGGTCTAGAAGAGGCAAATCTGTATAGACAGAAAGCAGGTTGCCAGGGGCCGGGGAAGGGGGGATGGGGGCTGCTACTAATGGGTATGGGGTATGCTGGGGAGGCAAGTGTTTTGAGAACTGAGACGACGGCTGCATAACTCTATAAATACGCTAAATGCCATGCAGTCCCAGCAGCTGAGCCGGGTGTGTGTGAATTACACCTCGGTAAGGCTGTATTTTTTTTTTAAAGATTTCTTTATTTATTTTAGAAAGAGCAAGAGTAGCACGAGCAGGTGGAGGAGCAGAGGTGGAGAGAGTCTCCCGCAGACTCCCCACTGAGGGCAGAGTCTGTATGGGGTTTGATCTCCCAACCCTGAGATCATGACCTGAGCCCAAATCAAGAGTCAGGTGCTTAACCAACTGAGCCTCCCAGGCGCCCCTCAATAAAGCTGTTATTTAAACAAACAAGCAGGGGCGCGTGGGTGGCTCAGTGGGCTAAAGCCTCTGCCTTCGGCTCAGGTCGTGATCCCAGGGTCCTGGGATTGAGCCCCGCATCGGGGAGCCTGCTTCCCCTCCTCTCTCTGCCTGCCTCTCTGCCTACTTGTGATCTCTCTCCTTCTGTCAAATAAATAAATAAATAAATTTTTTAAAAAAATAAACAAGCAAAGGAGATTTCAATTCCAGGCCAGGGCTGGGGAAGGAATTTATATTTTTAACCCAAAGTCCCAAGAATCTAGCGCCTGGCTGGGTTGGAAACGACTGCCCCAGCTCACCACTAAGCCCCAGAATCCTCTGGGGCACAACTAATACTCAACGGGATCCAAGAAAAGACCTCGGGAAGTAAGTCGGGGTAAAGGGGTCATTCCACGAGGGAGTGCCTCTGCGAGTTGGACCTGGCACGGGAGAGAAGTGTCCCCGTGACAAGGGCAGGGTACACACAGGAAAGATGCAAACTGGGAACGTGCACTCACCTGGGACCAAGACGAAACGAAGCACGTGGCCGAAGCTGCTGTCTCCTGATGTTGGGAGGCTGCTGGGCCTGGGGAAAGAGCAGAGTTGCCAGAGAGGGCCACACAGCCCACCAGTGCACACAGTAGCGAAGGCCCAGACAGGTGCAACTACTCCCCACCTTTGCTCAGCTCCCAAGGGAGGAACTTGTCCTTCCCACATGGACAGAGGCCCAGCCTCCTGTGATGCCCCCTTCCCTCTGCCTCCTTCCCCTGCAGGGCTTCTTTCATCTAGAGGGATGGCTACTCACCCCTCTTTGGCCAGAGCTGGGGGCCCCTCTTTGGTCTGCGGCTCCGCTGGGATGGGGGCTGCTGGCTGGAGCATCCAGACCCTTCCTCCGGAGACAGCTCCTCCGGCCTGGCCTCCACTTGGTGTTTCAAGGACTTTTCTCCTGCCCCGTGGGGCGCTACATCATCAGGGAGCACCTCCAGGCTCTGCATGCAGACAGAGATCTGTCCACCAGCTCCCACAAAGTTGGGAGAAAACCCATGAGGTCCCCAACCACTGTCTCAGGCACCCCTGGCCATCCTCCTGTTCCCAGGCTCTGCCCAACTGTGCCTCACCCCCCCACCCCCACCCAGGGCTTCCTCTCCCTGTCTACCCCCATGGCCCACCACATGCCACACAGTCCTCCCTCCAGACACGCTAGAAGAAGGAATGTTGAGCTGCGAATAGGTCAAGCTCCCAAGTGGGACAAAGTGAGACCTGCTCTGTCCCTGGATGAGTCTCCCCAGTCTCTCCCCATCACACTGCACCGTGTCATCGTCGTACTCTTATCCTTCCTTCCTTGCTGCTCCCAAATGACCTGGGCCAGGAGGACCCCGAATCAGGTCTCATTTCAGAAGTTCGCACTATTTCATGTGCTACATTTTTTGAATTCACCTGCCGGCGCTCTGAAACCATCTATTTCCCAATTCCAGAGAAGGTAAAGAGGATGAACTTGGAGTTTACTGAGCTCTGCAAGAGTACTTGGGACAAGAGACATCTCGGGGGAACTGTGAAACCACTTCCAGGGACCCCTGTGTCAGGCTCAACATTGCACACTTCTAAGAAGAGACAGTCCCCAGAGGTTATGGGGTGCACGGAGCCAGAGGGAAGCCATGCTAAGAACCCCAACACCAAGGCTGGAGGGGCTGGGAAGGGCTCCTGAATTCCTGCTGGCCACGACAGCAGGATCTGCCTACTGCAATCAACTCACACTATGGTCAAGTTTGGGGAGGGATGTGTCTATGCTGCTGGGCAAATAGAAAAGCAGTGTATGGCCAATGGTACCACCACAAGAAGAAAGGTCACCTGTCCACATTTGCCAAATATTTAATCTAGAAAAACTAATCTAATCGAAGCAAGAGAAATCTGTAAGACTTCCCACTCCTCAGATTTTCTTAGAAGCTGGGAGTGTGCCCTAGAGTGGTGCATCCACAGAACTTTGCATGACGACAAAGTGTCGTACATCTTCATTGTCTAGTATCCAGTACAGGGGCCACTGGCCATGCGTGACAACTGAGCCCTTGAAATGTGCCTGGTGTGACCTAGGAACTACAATGACATATTTAGTTGTAATTAAAAAAAAAAACCACATGTGGCCAGTAGCCACTGCCTGGGATGGCACAGCTCCAGAGAACCTGGGGACATGTGGGGGCTCTAACCAGGGCATCCACCAGCCCCTGTTTTTTCTTCCTCCTCATTCTGGGATCTCTTCAACCCCCAGCACCCTGCCTGGGAACATCTATAACCTCCCTCCCGTCAAAAGCTGTGTCTGACCTCCACCGGGATGATACTGATGAACCAAACCACACATCTAGTGGGCTACCTGTGCTTAGTCAACGGATTTACACCCATCAGCCAAGGCTGAGAAACACTTCGCAGTTGTGTTCTTCAATTCACAGGTACAGGCAGCCCAGTCCCCGCCCCCCCCACCCAGGGACCCAGGCAGACCGTGGCTCCAGAGCCCAAGGAATTTCCAAATGCAGACCTCAGGGGCAGGGCCCTGAGGTCTTGGGGCCCCGTTTCCTCACCTCAGGGCCAAATTGCCCCCCACCTCACCCGCTGCCTCTGTTTCCTGGGCTCCCGCTGCAGCCCTTCCACGAGGACCACGGCCTCCTCACCACTCTCTGGCTGCTGCTCCCGCACCCGGGCCTGGATCTCCCCTGGCAGCACCATCAGGAACTGCTCCAGCACCAGCAGCTCCAGAATCTGCTCCTTGGTGCGCAGCTCTGGCCGTAGCCAGCGGCAGCAGAGCTCCCAGAGGCGGCTCAGGGCCTCCCGTGGCCCCGCCACCTCCTGGTAACAAAAGAGCCGGAAGAGCTGGCGGAAGGTCTCAGGGCTGGGGTCTTCTGGCTCCAGGGAGGGCTCCTCTTCCCAGCAGAAATCCTCCTCCACCTTCACAATCAAGATCTCATCTTGGTCCAGGGGCGGTGGAGGCTGGAGACCAGGTGTGGTTGCCATTGTCTGGGGCGGGTCTTGCTTTCTTTTGCCTCAGGGCTCAAATTTGTGCTTCCCGGAACCTCAGGCACACTGGATAAGAGGTTTGCAGGACTCTGTACAGAAACAATAAAATCATCTGGGTGCGGGTTAGGGCTAGATAAGCATCTACCCATAAGCCCCTGTGCTTGCCCCAGAGCCAACTCACGCTCACCGGCAAAAGAAAACGGCTTTAATTTGTAAGTGAAAGCGTTCTTGCGGCTCCCCCCTGCTAATTCCCAGGCAAGTTACTCAAACCCTCCGAGCCTCGATGCCGCATTCAAAAAGCGGAGAAAATGGTATCCCTACACAGAGGCTGCTAAGACTAAAGGATTTTTGGAAGGGGTTTCGCGCATTGCCTAGAATAGGATCAGACTTAGAGAAACGCGGTTTTTATTACCACGGCTGGCCCACCTGGGCTGGGGTCCCTTTGGAAACATGGTGAGAACCAGGGCGCCCTCTGACTGCGAGGACGCGGATTCTGTCACGACCTGACCCCCGATTTCGGGCCCTGCAAGCCCCATAGGCCCGCCGGGTACCCCCGACTGGATGGTCACCTCGGCCTCTCCAACTCCAGGGTCCTGGGAGTGCTGGGAGTCCCCGGCCGGGCTGCTTTCCCCGGTTTCGTCCTCAGGTGGAGGGTGAGCAGTAGCCCAGGCCGAGCACAAACCCGGGCTCTGACGTGGGCCCGGGATGGAAGCTCAAGCCGGGACCCCGCGCCCTGCACCCGCACTCACCGGCAGCGAGGCAGGCCCGGCCGAGAGTGTACCGCGGGAGCAGGGGGCGCAGCAGGCAAGCTGCCCACAGACGAGACAAACAAACCCGCACAACGAACACCTGAGACGGGTCCTCGTGAGCCGCAGATTCAGCACGCTGTGGGCGGGCTCACCGGCGCATTGTGGGTAATGTAGTCCCCGCGCTACTGGCCGAGCCGGCTGTCGAGTGTGGGACTGAGTCTGGATAGGCGGGTCCACGGCGGGCATTGTGGGCAACGTAGTCCTTGAACTGTGGCCGACCAGCTGTAAGCGGGTGAGAATGAGACCGCGTGGGCGGGCCCACGGGAGGCATTATGGGTAAAGTAGTCCTTGCACCTTCAGTGAGCGGGGCAGGGTTTTCGAGGCGCCGCAGGTTCTGGGCAATTCTCCCTGCATCCTTTCCATCCGTCCTCCCCTGGCCTGAGAAAAGTACACTGCGGGCGGGGACTTGTTAATTTACATTTCTACTTACATGGTACTTTGTATGTACCAGGCTCTGTTTTAAGTACTTTCCAATTATTAACAATTCATCTTTCTAACAACCGTGGCCAGGGAGCGAGATGGGGCGGGGAGGGTGGGGGCGGGCAGGGTTGGTGCCTGGGTGTCTGGGTCCAACAGCTGCCTTTGGCTGGGGTCATGATCTCAGGGTCCTGGGATCCCTGCATCCGTTCCCGGCTCAGTGGGGAGCTTGCTTCTTCCCCTCCCCCTACTTGTGCTCTCTCACTCTCTGTCAAATAAATAAATAAAATCTTAAAAAACAAACAACAGTGGGAGGTAGGTACTGTTAGCAATATTTTATAGATGAGGAAAAGAGACAGAGGTTCAACGACCTGCCTAAGGTCCATACATACTCAGTAAGTGGAGAGCTGGAATGAGGTTAGAGCCCGGGCATCTGTTCTAGTCCACCTCTTAATTTTAGAGACTAGTTAATGAAGACCCAGAAAGTTACCTGCTTGGGGCATGTTGGCTACCAATTGTTTATTTATTTGTTAATTTAATCAATAAATATTTATTGGGCTCTGCTTTGTACCAAGCAGGCACCATGAACAGAAGGTGAACTAGACAGACGGTCCTTGGTGTTGCTGTGCAGCCTGGGAGAGACTAAGCCCCTGGAATTTAAGCAGGTAAAGGTCATGGAGAGGGTTAGCTGCTTAGCACATCATAAGTGCTCCACAAATCGTCACTAACATAAGGACCAGGAGATTCCCGAGTCCTTCAGCTGTGGCATCCCCAGACCTAGCACCTTACCCCATCTTCCCACTAGCATTTCTTCCCATCCTACTTGCCATTCTCTCTCATGTTTCATTTTTCCTACTACATCCAATATCCAGTTTTTATCTTGGGCACACGGAGCAGAACAAGACACTGGGCTGCCCGTGACTAATTTCACTGCCCCTCCCTGAGTGGGAGGCATCTTTAAGGGCAGATTTCAGGACTGTCCCAGGCCTCCACAGCCTTGTGCTGGGGCCTGAAGAAAGGCAGGACCGTATATGCCTCAGTTTCTCCTTCAGCATGGGGTAGCTGACCAGGAAGTCAAGAATGTTAGAATAAACGAACACCAAAGTGTACACTTACTCAGGGAAGTGGTCCTTAGGTCCAACACAAGAGGCCTGCGCTCCATTTGCTTTGGGAGGAGAATGTGCACGGGGGACCTTCGAACAAATCAGAGGAAGGATGCAGCAGGGCAGGAAGAAGAACAGATAAAGCGGGAGAGGGAAAAGGAGGAACACAGAAGAGGCTGGTGGAATCTGAGGGAATCTGAGGGAAAACCAGCAGGTTCTATAGGACTACACGACCCTGATCGGATTGCAGAGTGTGCTGGCTTGTGTGTAAAGTAGCGGAGAGGTGTGGGGATGCCAGCATTTTCAAAGCTATGCCACGCCTTCCCCTTTCTAACTGCCTCCTGGTTAGCTGTGGGGACCAGGCATCTTCTCCTCAGTGCCATATATCCAGAAGTTAGCAAGTCAATGTAGTGACCAAGGCCTGGCTGACATAGCCCTGGCCCTCCTCCTGTCTGGGCAATTTTCAGTGACTACAACCAACAGAGGTTTAAAGGACAAGTTTCTGCTTTGCTCCAGATTTTGCGTGTGTTTGTTTAGGATTTCAATCTTTTTTTTTCTTCTTAAGATTTTATTTATTTGAGGGGCGCCTGGCTGGCTCAGTGGGTTACGCCTCTGCCTTCAGCTCAGGTCATGGTCTCAGGGTTCTGGGATCGAGCCCCAAGTTGGGCTCTCTGCTCAGAGGGGAGCCTGCTTCCCCCTCTCTCTGCCTGCCTCTCTGCCTACTTGTGATCTCTGCCAAATAAATAAATAAAATCTTTAAAAAATAAAAAATAAAAGATTTTATTTGACAGAGAGAGGGAGGGAGAGCACGAGCAGGGTGAGGGACAGAGGGAGAACCAGGCTCCCCACTAAGCAGAGAGCTTGACGTGAGGCTGGATCCCAGGACCCTGGGATCATGGCCTGACCTGAAGGCAGACATTAACCAACTGAGCCGCCCAGGTGCCCCTCGGATGCCCAGGTGCCCCTCAGATTTCGGTTTTAGTTCTATTTTGGGGGAGACACAAACATGCAGTCCCTAACAAATGTAAGTCAGGATGAATTTGGGCATCCACAGAAAACACCCCTAACCTGTGCTTCAAATCCTGGTCCCACTACTTATTAACTAGGTACGCCTTACCTTCCTAACCTGTGAAATGGGGACTGCCATAGCTCCAGCTTCAGAGAGCTGAGGGACAAGACTAGGTGAGACTGATTGTACAGCACCTGTGACAATGTCCAGTGCATAACCAGTGCTCCTTAAGCATCGGCTCTAGCGTCATGACTTGCAGCCCCAAGGAGATGTATGCGGGTCTCAGGGTGTGGGTCTTGGGTATGTGGCACCGTGGAGTTCCCGTAAGAGGTCACTGGGTCCACTAAGGCCCTAAGCATTGTTCACGGTCTGAATGAAAAGTATTTATAGTTAAGCACACAGATCACTATTTATTCTTGTAGCTGTAGCTTGTTTTCACAGTGTTTATGGGGTCTACAAAACAGTTCAAGTTAAAATGGGAGCCTCATACTCACAGAAGTTTGCAGCACATACGTACCATTCTCTGAAGACGGAGGGGAAGATCTTGTCAGAGTGAAGACATAGGTCTGTCATCACATCCAAGACATCGGCTCAGCTCACACTTGCTCTTATTAACCAGAAGGAAAACAGGGTGTACAGTCAAGCCCTCCAAGTTCTCATCTTTGGTAGCAATTTCTCAATGTCCAAATGACTGAGAACTAAAAACTCAATATACAAATCAAATAGTTTAATTTGACTAAATTATCTAAAAGAGTCATCGGGGGCGCCTAGGTGGCTCAGCGGGTTAAAGCCTCTGCCTTCGGCTCAGGTCATGATCCCAGGGTCCTGGGATCGAGCCCCACATCGGGCTCTCTGCTCAGCAGGGAGCCTGCTTCCCTTCCTCTCTCTGCCTGCCTCTCTGCCTGCCTGTGATCTCTGTCTGTTAAATAAATAAATAAAATATTTAAAAAATAAAATAAAATAAAAGAGTCATCGGAGAGCTGGCATGGCTCAAAACTAATACAGAATGGGTGTTTTATTACACTTAAAAAAATTTTTTTTTTTTTTTTTCAGAGAAAATCCTGAAGCAGACTCCCACCCCCGAATGTGGAGCCCAACTCAGGGCTTGATCCCAGGACCCCAAGATCATGATCTGAGCCGAAACCAAGAGCCAGCTGCTTAACCAACTGAGCCACCTAGGCACCCATACACTTTTTCTAAGGCTTCCATGAGGCAATAATAAAAGCTAATGTGGTTTTTAAAAAAAAGATTTTATTTATTTATTTGTCAGAGAGAGAGAGAGAAAGCACGAGCAGGGGGGTGGGGGAGCAGCAGGCAAAGGGAGAAGCAGGCTTCCGGCTAATGCAGGACTTCATCCCAGGACCCTGGGATCACAACCTGAGCCAAAGGCAGACGCTCAGCTAACGGAGCTATGCAAGGGTCCCAAAGCTAAGGTTTTTTAAGCACTTCCTTAGTCCATGGGAATTCTTTACTGTGCTACTTAAATCTTCACAAGGACTCTCTTGTATAGGTATCATTATGACCCAAATTCTAGATGAGTAAACTGAGGCTCAGAGAGGGCATAGCCCTGCTAAAGGCCACACAGCTAGGAAAGGGGAAAAGCCAAGTCAAACTCAGGCAGGTCCACTCCTGAGTCTGTGGCCCCAAACACTCCCCTAAGGTTCTCCTGAACACCAGCCAGGTAATCAGAGGCCTGCCTTGGAATAAATATCCAAATGACTCCTCGGAAGACTCTGGTCCTGCCTCAAGGTTGTCCTGAGGGGGCCACTTGGGGCCATAATACCCACTGGATTTCAAAACACAGTGGGCAGATCTGCTTGGTTCACAGAGGTGCTCAGTAAATAGTTGCTGGATGACTGAATAAATGAGTGGGAAGAATTTGTTTTTCAGACGTTGACATCTGCAGCTCAGCCTTACACAAACTTCATTCATAAATGTGATGATGGCGGTACAGATGGAGATAAACAGTACCTGTGCCCCAGAGGATACTTACTAGGATTCAATGATCTAATACATTCAAACACTCCACTCTAGGGTGAAATCTAGAAGGAATCAGTAAACAGTATTGTTACTATTTTCATTAACACAAAGCAGGAGGGACAAGAATGCTTGCTGTGAATGCCTGGGAAATCTCTCCTTGGAGACTGCTTGTGTTTTGGTTCCATTATTAAATTGGAGACAGATGAGAGGATACATCAGTTAACAGGGAGGCCGAAGATAGCCATCGTTTACACCCTCAGCCACCCAGCACTTGAAACTTCATGTCTTATCCCTGCAGCCGGCAGGTCAAATGAGAAGCTAACATTTTAAGAACAGCCTTGCAAAGCGTGACCATTCCTCTGAGGGAGAGCTACCTCCAGGATAAGGAGGCTGGAGTGTGGAGGAAGAAGGGGGGTTCAAGGACCACCAGGCATGCTTGGAAATCCTTACTCAACTGGATGACATCTGCTGAACTCTCCGGTTTGTAGGCAGCCCAGGCATCACTCAGAATGGGGGTGAAGATTCACATGCTCCTCTTGGGAAACACCGTGTCTTTGTCTGCTCAGGCTGCC